CCAACACCATGATCTTCTCCACCTCCATATCTACTCCCACTTCCATATCCTGCTCCTCCTACGCCGGAGCTAACCCCTCCTCCGTATGCATTTCCTCCACCGTTACCATATCCCGAACCCCTTACTCCACCACTTCCATAGCCTGAACCTCCGAGAGCAGAGCTTCCGTCTCCATATCCTCCACCCGATCTTCCACCATATGCATTATCATAGGATTCGTCACGATGCCCCGAATCGTACCCTTCTCTAGGGTTAGGGCGATCGTAACCATAGTGACGTGTTCGGGGATCATAATCAAGAAGGGTTCGGGCAGCGGAAGCTAAACCCAGCCCTACAAGGAGAAGAAAGCTAAGGCACAAGACTCTAGTGATAGCCATGGAGAGAATTTGAGGATGCCTAGAATGAATCCATTGGTCATCTTATATAGGAAATGGTGGAGGGTTCATCATCTTCTCATGGGTGTGCTTAATGGTAAAGAGGGCGCCACATGGGGAAATAAAAAACAATTTGGATATGTATCTCCACAAATGTCGATGAAGCAAGCACTATAGTGTGCCTTTTCTCCTATTTGGCTCACACATTAGATTTGAAGTAAATCATATGAATATTCACATAAGGCTTTGATGTCATCTTTCATTTGAAAGATCTTGCAAGATTTAGTAAGATTTAGAGAAAGAGCAAAGATAAACTTAAAAGTAATATCTATGGTTCACTACTTACTTTAGTTTTATCATTTCTTCTTGCTTCGCATTAGTTAAGGTTGATAATTTATTTAGTTTTAGGAAGATATTTGTATGATTAAATTCACAATGGCTATAAAAATCCACTACATAAAGAACATTTATTTAATTAGGCTCTTTTTCTTTTTTGCTACTTGAGCCGCCATGAGATTTAAGACATGAAATGGGTTATGGAACGATATTCCATTACTATAATATCTTTTACATATCATTTATGCATGTTTCCCTAATTCCCGCTCGAGGGATTCATTAATTAATCTCCCATTTGGACTACAATAATTGTGGAATGAATCATCACATTATGATGATATTAAATCTCATAGTGTTTGCACTCACAAAATTAAAAAAAAAAAAAGAAAAATTGCTTAAAATATGTGATGTATTTTCCCAATAGGAAGGTAATGATTTTGAACCAGTCACGTGATCATCATCTATCTAAAAAAAAAAGTTAGAGTAATGTGTTTCTAGCTCTAAGTGTGAAATTGAAATTCATCCTAGCATTCTATGCCTTGTCTTGAGTTAGCTTTTTCATCAAACTTGTAAATTTTACGTTTATGAAGCTAAAAGTATAAGTTTCATCAATTGTAATCTACTTACAAGGAGAAATCATCGAAGGAAGGAAGGCACGATACTCACTAGAAAATTTCTAGATACCAATGGGATCCTTTTACTCCGATCTTGTTTTCTAGGCTTTATATTCTTTCAATTCTTCTACAAAAGCTATAGATTTTCCTCTAGACCAACCTCAAGTCTTACTATCCTTAAATGAGAGAGAATTTTTGTGGGATCCCACATCGGCAATCTACAATAGGGTGGATTGTGAGATCTCACATCGGTTGGAAAGAGGAACAAAATACTTTTTTATAAGGGTGTGAAAACCTCTCCCTAGCAGATGCGTTTTAAAACCATGAGGCTGATAACGATACGTAACAAGTCAAAACGAACAATATCTACTAGCGGTATCAGAGCCAAACACCAGACAGTATGCTAGAAAGGGTGCTGGACCCCAGGGGAGTGAATTGAGAGATCGCACGTCAGTTAGAGAGAGGAACGAAACATTCCTTATAATGATGTGGAAACCTCTCCCTAGTAGACGTGTTTTAAAACTTTGAGGCTGACGACAATACGCAAGGACAATATCTACTAGCAATGGGCTTGAGCTTTTACAATTTTGAAACTTAAATCTCGGGTTTCTCAATTCCAATTATCATTTGATAACTCAAATTGTGGAGCATAAAATGTGTGAGCTAATAAATTTGAGTTTGTAGAATAAGTTACTTAACTTGTATAGTAACCTTATAGAATTGGTAGAAGTTGCCAAATTGTAGACCAAGTTTTGTGGTTATGGACTATGCTTTGTGTTTTAATTAGGAAGATTGTTAGTGGTTTTAAGGAGAAAGTTTAGGAAGCAAGTGAGTGTTTTCTCCCCTGTAAATACTCATGAGATACATGCCTTTTACTCAACAACAACCAACAACCAAGAGAATTGAAAAGCTAACTACTTAGGTTCTCCCCGAAATGCGTTGAGGGGCAGCAGTTGACTGGACATTTAGGGGTAAAGCACTGTTTCGGTGCGAGCCGCGAGAGCGGTACCAAATCGAGGCAAACTCTAAATACTAGATATGATCTCAATATAACAGGGGTCAAGGTCAGCCAGTGAGACGATGGGGGATAAGCTTCATCGTTGAGAGGGAAACAGCTTGGATCACCAGCTAAGACCTCTAAATGACTGTTCAATGATAAAGGAGGTAGGGGTGCAGCCAATAAATCTAAGATAGAGAGGGACAAATTTCTTTTTTAGGAGACCACTTGACCTTATGCTCTACTATGTTTATGAAATATTTACACATGATCTTTACTATCACGAAATGTTTATACGTGTTCTCTTCTTTTATATAGTCTTTTACATGTTCTACATACACCCGACCTTAAGGATATGAAATTAAAGTACATGAAATTATTTGTATGAAAGAGATGTAAATCAAAAATAAAAAAAAAAAAAACTGAATCCTAAAGTCAGATTTTAGGTAACACAGTACTAATCTTAGCCATAGTTGCACATATATGCATTTTTTTAGCTTATTAAGGATATCACTCATTAGGTAAGAGAAAGAACAACTTAAGTAGCTTACCATGTTCTATAGAGGCCGCTTCACTCTAAGCCTTAAGGTGAGTTAGGTTTGAATTGACCACTTTTTTTATCCTTTTAAGTTTAATATTATAATGTAATAACTTAGTTTTTGGTGTTTATAGGTTAAATGTTGTATCTTTAATAATGTAATAAAATTAATACTTTAGAATAATGTTCAATTCTCTTGACAGCCCTCTTCCTTCATCAGATATTTGCATGATTGATATATGTTTTGCCTATACAAACCCACTAAGTAAAGAGAATATTTTATTAGGCTATCCATTAACTTATCTTGTCACTCAGCATTTATGCTCGTTCCCCTAATTCCCACTTAAGAGATTAAATAATCTCCCCTTTCTCATAAAAAGTTGGGAAAATTGATCACTTTTCAAAGAGAATATGAGTGTTGAACATATTCAAATTTGCTTAGTAAAAAAATTAGAAAACTTTTCAGGGGAGAAATGTTAGAGATCACGGAATAGCATGAGATTAGGAATGTTAGAAAAAAAACTCGATGAACTGAAACCCTCAATCAATCTAATTGAACTCGTTTGTTTTTTCAATTGAACTCAATCAATCCAATCTCATTTACCTCGGTAGATGAAGGTATAGAATGCTAAGGTGAACCTTACTATCATGCAATTGAAGTTAGAAACATGTGACTTTTAACCTTAAGGTAAAAGATGATGACATGGATGGTTCAATTGAATCGATTACCGATGATTCTATTGACTTAGTTTCTTGCTTATTTTGGATCATTTTTACCTTAGATTAATTGAAAAGATAATGTATCACTAAATATGATTACTGACCCAATTGTTTGACAAACTACATCACTCTCAAGTGCTTAACCACTATGAGATTCTTTTTAATATCCTTAAAATGTGATGATTTATTCCACCATTAGTGCATTCCAAAAGGAAGATTATTTAATGAACGTATCAAGTGGGAATTAGGGAAACATGCATAAGTGATATGTAAAAGATATTATAGTAATGCAATGTCGTTTCATAATCCATTATTTCATGTCTCAAATCTCATGGCGGCTCAAGTAAGAAAAGGGATAAAGAACCCTAATTAAACAAATGTTCTTTATGTAGTGGATTTTTATGGGCATTGTGAATTAATCATACAAATATCTTTGTAAAACGAAATAAGTTATCATGTTTCAATGCTCCTCTTAATCCTTGTTGATGAAGAGATATTTAGGTTGGAGGATCAACTTGTAGAAGACGCCATAGTCAAATGACTTAGCAAGAGATTATCTAGGTTTCACTATGAAAATATTTAGAGCAACAAAATCTAACTAAGAAGTAACTAAACTCGACATGAAAATACTTGAAATCCAAAACACCGTTGGGTCAAATTCAAAAAAAACTTTAGCTAATGGAAAACAAAGACTGAAACTAAGCGTGTGAGCTTATAAACTTAGTAGAGTCACTAACATATGAATTAACTTTAGGATAATTGTTAGTATACTTAGTAGAATAAGTTACTAACTTATAAAACAACTACGTAGAATTGGTACTAGTTGCCAAATTGTAGACCAAATTTTGTGCTTTAGTTAGGAAGATTGTTAGTGGTTCTTTAACTTGAGGAAAAAATTTAAGAAACTAGTGAGTGCTCTCTCTATTTTAAATACTTACGAGATGTATGATTTTTCACGACAATAAAGATAATTGAAAAGCTAGTTACTTAAAGTTCTACTTCTTTAACTTGTTTGGACATATTTCGATAGTAGGTCATATCCAACAAAATCAACTATAGATATTACTTTCAATTACACTTGTAAGCTTTTCTTTGCACTTTCAATTACACCTGTAAGGTTTTCTTTGCTCTTTCTCTAAATCTTAAAAAATCATGCAAGATCTAGTAAATGGAAGATGAGATCAAAGCCATACCTAGATATTCATATGATTAAGTTCAAATTTAATTTGTGAGCCAGATATGAGAAAAGCCATACTATAGTGCTTGCCTCATCGACATTTGTGGAGGTACATATCCAAATTGTCTTCTTTTCTTTTTATTTCTCCATGTGGCGCCCTCTTTACCACTAAGCACACCATAGAGAAGATGATGAACCCTCCACCATTTCCTATATAAAGAGATCAATGGATTCATTCTAGGCATCCTCAAATTCTCTCCATGGCTATCACTAGAGTCTTGTGCCTTAGCTTTCTTCTCCTTGTAGGGCTGGGTTTAGCTTCAGCTGCCCGAACCCTTCTTGATTATGATCCCCGAACACGTCACTATGGTTACGATCGCCCTAACCCTAGAGAAGGGTACGATTCGGGGCATCGTGACGAATCCTATGATAATGCATATGGTGGAAGATCGGGTGGAGGATATGGAGACGGAAGCTCTGCTCTCGGAGGTTCAGGCTATGGAAGTGGTGGAGTAAGGGGTTCGGGATATGGTAACGGTGGAGGAAATGCATACGGAGGAGGGGTTAGCTCCGGCGTAGGAGGAGCAGGATATGGAAGTGGGAGTAGATATGGAGGTGGAGAAGATCATGGTGTTGGTTACGCTGGTGGGCGAAGTGGAGGTTATGAAAATGGAGGCAATGGTGGGTATGGGCAAGGAAGAGATCATGATATCGGCTATGGAAGTAGAAATGGAAATGGAAATGGAAATGGAAATGGGTATGGAGATTCCCATGGATATGGAAATGGTGGAGGAGTCGACGGTGGGTATGGAAGGGGAGACGGAGTAGGAAGCCATGCTGGTGGTTCTGGCATTGGCGCCGGCGGTGGTTACGGAGGCCATGCTGGTGGCTCTGGAATTGGGGCCGGCGGAGCTTACGGCAGTGGAGGAGCTCACGGAGGAGAACATGATAATAGCAAAGGAAGTGGAGAAGAAGGAGGTTATGACGGTGGATATGCACTCAAAAACTCCATCTCAAACAAGAACTGAAACCCTTTTTAAGTAATGAACCCAATATTCATTATGTTAACAAAATAAAGAAATTGGGTTAGAGAATGTTGTTTTCTATATCGATGTCCAAACCGCTTTCAATGAATGTCAAATTCGAATCAACTGTTCAATGATAAAACAAAATTTGGATTACATTGGTATGGAGCAAATTGATTCAATCATACTTATTTTGTTGAGATATGATTCAAAATGAAGATATGATTCAGAGGAGTAGGGATATGATTCAAATATTCAAACTATGAGATTTTTAGGAGATTGTTAGCAGATTTAAATTATTTATGGATTTCGATGATTTACTATTTTTGGTCCAGTGTATAAACTATAAATACTGGAATTGTGTAAGCCTCTAGGTATTGAGTCTGTAGACAATAATAAAGCACCGTACCTTTCATCTATTCCTATCTCTTTCACTATCCCTCTTTCCAACAATTTTGGTATCAGAGCCAAGTTCGTTCGACACGAGGGCGAGTGATTATTTTCTTTTCCAAAACAAAAATGGCAGTAGCTGGTTTTCTTTCTTTGCACCGTTGTTGCCAATCTTTAATGGTGAGAAGTATGAGTGGTGGAGCATCAAGATGAAGACCTTGCTCAGATCGCAGGAGCTATGGGACTTGGTGGAGTACGGGTTCGTTGATATATCAGAACCCACAATTGAAGAAGAGGAGACACTAAGGGAAACCAAGAAAAATGATGTCAACGCTCTATTCATTATTCAGCAAGCAGTTCATGAGACTATCTTTTCACGAATTGCAGCAGCAACCACATCAAAGCAAGCATGGTCAATTCTACTGAAGGAGTTTCAGGGAGATTCAAAAGTCATAACAGTGAAATTGCAATCTTTAAGACGTGATTTTGAAACTCTGCTCATGATGAATGGCGAATCAATTGCTGATTTTTTGTCCAGAACAATGGCAATAGTCAGTCAGATGCGTACCTATGGAGAGAAAATTTCAGACGAAACAATTGTTGCAAAGGTGTTGAGGAGCTTGACTCCAAACTTTGACCATGTGGTGACTACCATAGAAGAAGCTACTAAGGATCTATCAATACTCCCCGTTGATGAACTGATGGGTTTGCTTCAGGCTCATGAGTCAAGAATCAATAAATCATCAGAAAGGAATGAAGAAAAGACACTACAAGTGGAGACAGACAACAACGAAGGTAACGAAAGAGAAAATATAGAAAAGGCACTACAAGTGGAGACAACCAACAACGAAGGGAACAAAAGAGAAAATATAGAAAAGGCACTACAAGTGGAGACAGCCAACAACGAAGGCAACGAAAAAGAAAATGTTTGTTTAGCAAGTAGAAGTTGTGGAAGAGAAGGATTTCGCAGCTTCCATGGCGATCGTGATAACAGGTGGAGAAGTGATGGACAGAGACAATTCAATGAACAAAGGAATGTCATACAATGTTACCATTGTAGAAGGTATGGTCACACAAAATATGATTGTTGGTATAAAAATCAACTAATGAATTTTGCAGCAGAGAATGGAGAAAAAGAAAAGTTGTTTATGGCATGCATGGATACGAATCTAGAAGAAGGTAACTTATGGTTTGTTGATAGCGGATGCTCGAACCATATGACAGACATCAAATCTTTATTCCAAGAGCTTGATGAGACGCAAAGAATCAAGGTGCAACTTGGAAATAAAAAAGATATGCAAGTTAAGGAAAAAGACACGGTGAACGTCAAAACCAGTCATGACCCTATGAATTATGAAGAAGCAACTAAAAAAGAAGACGGGAAGAAAGCCTTGACAGTAGAGATGCAGTCCTTTAAGAAAGATGAAACATGGGATATGGTTGACCTACCAGATGAAAAGTTCTATGGAGATTTACAAGAAGAAGTTTATGTAACACCGCCAGAGGGATTCATAAAGGAAGACAAAGAAACAAAGGTATACAAGCTGAGACAGACATTGTACGGGTTAAAGCAGACATACTTACGAAGGCCTTGTCAGAAGAAAAGCTCTGTACTTACGTCTACAACTTTGAATCATGGGGGAGTGTTGAGATATGATTCAAAATGAAGATATGATTCAAAATGAATATATGATTCAAAATGAAGATATGATTCAGAGTAGTAGAGATATGATTCAAATATTCAAACTATGAGATTTTTAGGAGATTGTTAGGAGATTTAAATTCTTTCTAGATTTTGATGATTTACTATTTTTGGTCCAGTGTATAAGCTATAAATACTGGAATTGTGTAAGCCTCCAGGTATTGAGTCCGTAGACAATAATAAAGCACTGTAGCTTTCATCTATTCCTATCTATTCCTATCTCTTTCACTATCCCTCTTTCCAACAATTTTCACCCTATATCGATTTGTTTATCAGCGCAACTCAAAATCTAAGGTTAATTTTAAAGGGAAGTATTAGGTTGTATGAGTCCTTAAGCTTACTAAAAATAGTTATTAATGTGAACAAGTTTAGGAGTGATTAGTGTTTTAACCTCAAAAAAAAAAAAATTTAGGAAACTAGTTGTGATTTCTCCCTATAAATAATACTCATGACATGTATGCTCTTTACAACAATAACTAAGAGATTGAAAAGCTAAGTGTTTAACGTTTCTTTGTTTCAAAAGATCTCTCCCCTTAAGTTGTTCTTTTTTATTTTTTATTTGTTTCAACCTATTTCGATCGATGCTCATATCCAACATTTGGTATCAGAGTCAAGATGCCGAAAAAATTTTGTCACCTTACAAAGTCACCGGAGGAGAAGTGAAAACAATAAGGAGCGGAAGGGAGGGGAGTGTAACACTCCAAAACCTATGACACACGAAGAGTAACTACATAACATGGTCGATAAAATTGGGTGTTGACTTACAGGCACAAGGCTTATGGGATATCGTCGAGAATGTTGACGTTAAGGAGCGTAACGACAAGATGACTCTTGCCACCATCTATCAAGTAGTCTTGGAGGACGTACTTCTCATGTTGGCAGAGAAGGACTCGGCAAAGACAGCGTGGGAGGCACTGCAAACAATGCATGTGGGTGTGAAACGTGTCAAGGAAGCAAAGGTGCAAACCTTGAAGAGTGAGTTCGAGGCTACCTGCATGAAGGACAGTTAGTCAATAGACGGATTTTTCATGAAGTTGACGACGATCGTCAGCGGCATCCGTTCATTACGCAACGTGGTGGAGGAGATCTCCGTCATCAAAAAGTTCCTTCAAGCAGTTCCCCCAAGATTCATGCAGATTTTTGCCTCCATCGAGCAATTCGGTGACCTCAAGAACATATCAGTTGAGAAGGTCATTGGCCATCTTAAGGTCCATGCGGAAAGACTTCGTGGCTACAAAGACAAGAGGAGGAGAAATACCTCTTACTCACACATGAGGAGTGGCTCGCACAGACGAGAAAGAAAGATACAATGATTCTTCTTTTTCACGTACGAGGGGACGTGGGAGCCATAACAAGAAAAACATAGGTCGTGGACGTGGTTGCAGACATGACAGTAGACATGGTGGTAGAGTTGGTCGTGACAATACCTCACAAATTCATGACAATGTCAAGTCCCGGAAGGACAAGAGTATGATCAAGTGTTACTCTTGTGGAAAATACGAACATTATGCGGTAGAATGCCACAACAATGAGCGCGATGAGGAGGCAAACCTCATGATCACGGATGATGAAGAGCCCACATTGATGTTGACCGAGAATATACTCAACCTGTTGGTGCTCAATAAAGAAGGTTATGCGAACCCCTTCATAGATGGAGAAGACTAAGTGGAGACCAGCATGTGGTACCTAGACAATGGAGCGAGCAACCACATGACCGGAGATTGAGCAAAGTTCAAGGAGCTTGATCAGAAGTTCACTGGAAACGTGAAGTTTTGCGAAGGATCAATTGTACCGGTCCAAGACAAAGGGTCTATCTTGTTCCAGTGTAAGAACGACCATCAATGTCTATTAACTAAGGTGTATTACATCCCGAGTTGAAGAGCAATATTATTAGCCTTGGTCATTGACAACAGAAACGTTCCTCAAAAATATTATTAGAGTGAAGATAGTCGACTCGTTCCTCGAGATATACAACAAAAACGGTGTTGATGAAGGTACAACGGTTGCAAAACTGCCTGTATAAGATACTATTGAAAGACCATCAACATCTTCCAAAAGTATCCATTGGCGTTGACAAAAAGAAAGTGAAGAAGAAACCAATGGGTCAGGAGAAAAAGGAATCGAAAAACATAGCCAAGAAGAAACCAGAGGCTACTACAATCAGTAAAGAACAACCTAGCCATGTAGGCCTAGAGAAAGGCCACCAAGGCGTAAGAAAAATGGGACATCAAACTTGTCCTCTCAACCAAAGAAGGCTAGAGACATGTATAAAAATAAGGTTGAAAGACAAAGGAGTATCCTACAAAACGAAGAAGTCCCTACACATAAGAGAGAACGGAAGAAATTGTATGTTGTAGAATTAAAATTTCTTATGAAGAATAAGGAGTTGATCAGGGACCAAGCAACGTTGAAACTATAGAACAACATGCAAATATTCTCACCAAGACCCTAGCAAAGATTAAGTTTGCAAACATGCCGGAGTTATTCAAAGTAAAAAATCTCAAGTAAAGTCAAGCTTACGGGGGAGAATGTGAGTGATTAATCTTGACTTTGTAAAAATAGTTATTAAGTTGAATAAGTTTAGAAAATAGTTAGTCAATTGAGAGTGGTTTTAACTTAGGGGAGAGTTTAGGAAACTAGTTGTTCTTTCTTAACTGTAAATATTGATGAGATGTATGCTATTTACAACCACACAAAGAATTAAAAAACTAAGTGATTCACGTTTCATTGTTTCAAAATATCTCTCCCCTCAAGTTTTTCTTTTTTAGTTTTTTATTTATTTTGA